ATGAAAAGCTTGGGATGTCTGCCTCCTTAGGCTGTTACGACTTTGGGGTTTTGTAATGCCCTGAGGTTCATGAGGCTCGTGTTTCGACGGTAATTTTCGTTTTTGGAATATCCACCAGGAATGATTTGTTACTCAAAATGCAGATTCTATAGCTGTTACGCATACCGTATAGTTTTTAGTTGCTTCCCCAGAATAATACACAAGCAAAGTCAGTTGATCACAGTAAAACAATGACTAATTTGTTAGCCTAACTAGGAGCAAAACAAAATAGTCCTATAAATGATGTTAAGTCCTTCACCAGAATCAAAATCCAGCGTCGTATTCTGAACGATTAGCTCGAATCGCCAGAAAAATTTCGTATTCATGAACGATTCTTGACAAGATTGGAGCTCCAGCTACATAGCTTGCTACCATCCCAGCATTTTTGGCAATTCAGACCCGATATGACCATTAAGGTTTTTCAGCAAGCCTGTTTAATGATGATTCGTATTTTCTACACCGGTGCGCTGCCATTGAACTTCGCAGCACCTTAAACGCCAATTGTCAATTTATTCGCAGCACACTAGTATCTCGTTACCTCTTACAGCTTATCGAAAATTTTGCGACATGCCTTATTGAATGCTGCACAACCATAATGCTCTCGGCCTTGTCTTGATGACCAAGCGACGCTGAGAAATGAACGAAGGAAAGCTAATGTATAAGTTTAACGAAATAATAAAGGCACGAATCGCCTGTGAAGTAGAGGCACGTTACAATAGCTTTTGCTAAACAGTACGATATCCAGGAGCACCAACAGAAAACAAATAGTTTTTATGTAAGCCTACATCCTCCACGGCTTAGATTCTAGCAGTTCGCTGAATTGAAAATCAACAAACATTTGTATTATGAAACGTTGAAGATAAGCAGCGAAAGGCACTCCCCGATGTGATACCCTGTCGACAAACAATTTGCCCGGTGTTCGGTAAATACTCTACAGTTTCTCAAGCTTTCCTTACAAAACGACTTACAGCGTAAAATGAAGAAGCCAAACAAATCAGATTTAAGAAGCTGTAGCTGACATTCAGATAAGCTAAATAAAAAAAAACGATTAATTTTAACCCTTTACTTCAAACTGAATTTGGTTGTATCGTCAAACTGCCACAAAACAATAATTTCAAACAATAACAGTAAAATCGGACTTCAAAAGGCCGAATTCGTTTAATAAACAAGAACAAATTATCAAAACAAAAGTTCAGTCACCGTGACGAATTTCATTTGTCTTGTACGCTTTTCTCTGTTTCGGCGATGTTCGTCCGGGTGATTTGCGTAGTCGCGCTTAAAAGTAACAATTTTGGTATCAATGAGATATAAGCAAGAGAAAAAAAGCTGAAATTAAGGACGGCACTTCAGGGTTGAAATGCGAAGTCTCCCCATCAAAGAAGTCTCAGTAAACACATAGTGTTCAGAGGGCAACTATAGAGACTAAGAGACTGACTGTTAAAGCCATTAACGATTAAATGCATTATGAATTGTCCTAATGAGTAGAATCTGAAACGCCGTGGGTATCATTCTTGAAACGGTTGGCTCACGAAGCAACGTTAAAGATAAGTTAAGTTATCGGTTATACAACTTGTTCTTGTCATGTATGCGCCAAAAACGGAAGTCGACGCTGTTCAAAAGTTTTCTATTTTCCGCTTTCGGCCTAAGCCGCTGACCAAGTAACATGGCAGTCTGATCATTCAAGCCTACTCTTGGATGACTGGCTTGACACTAGCTGCTAAGCGGAACTCTGAAATTTTTAACGTCTTCCGGATGTCAGTCAGGCAACCACATGACCTGCCTATTATCGCTTGGCGACACAGAAGGCACACACTGCGTCTGTTATTTCAGTCAGTTGTAAACGTTGGGCATATGGAACATGATTCCCTACACGTTTTTCGCTCAATCACTCTTGGCATGACCATCAGCTTGTTCTCTTCTCCTCGGCTTTAGCAGCAGATCAACTTTCAACACCGTAGAACATGGCGGGTAAGACGGTTGCATCGAACAGATCTTTCTTCGCTCGCCCGGGCAGCTCACTGTTGAATTATGTTTTAATAAAATTAATTCTAGTCAATGCCGCCTTCTTTCAATAGCTGATTTCCCCGCAGAGCGAGTTCAAACGGTCCCTTGATGGTCAAGCTATGCATAGCTCGAAACTTCTCCGAGTTCTTGACCATTCGGGTAGGGAGAGCACTTGGGGTACTGTTTGTATCGTATCCATTCATCCTGGAGAGGTTAACCTCCAAACTGATTGTAAGGCATTCTTCTAGCAACGGCTAGATATTCTGTTCGAGCCCGCCGTGTTTTGTGCGAAGACGTCCGTAAAGAACGTGTTAACTGCTCTGCATAAATGTTTATGCCACTGCACCTGCTTAACCAGCCGATGTCCCAAGGTCGCGGTGAAAAGCGCTGGTGGGATTGTATCTCTTTGGAGCACTTCTTGATTGATAATGAAAAGAAATAGTTCGCTTAAGAGATTGATGCATTTGTGCAACCAGCAAAGACCAGATTTCCTGTTTTAAAGGCAAATCTTAACGATATTCTGAGCCTTCTCCGCTGCAGAGATAGTTAGCAGCATATATTTTTAACAGCTGAATAGATTAGGAATTACATGGAGAGATGGAAAGTGGCATTATATTTCTGATTATCTTCTTACAAGCGTTTCTTTCATCACCATATAAATTTAACATATTCGAAAGATGATGGGAGTATTTAAATTCAAATGACATACAATAAGTCATGAAAGTCAACTGTCTAAAAATCGAGGGGAGGGGGATACGAATTTTGTCTGTTACTAGAATGCAAGACTATCTTTACTTTACAGAGTAAAACAATAATTTTGAAAATCAGCAGGAAAATGTATATCTGTGGACACTAAAAAGGATAACTAAATTATATGTATAAACTGAAACTGCTAGCCTAATTTTTCAGTGGGGGATGATACGTATCTTTCCTTGTATAACAAAGCACAAGTAAAGACAGAAATAAAATTACCAATCGTACCACTGTCTAATATTTCTTTCGGGATCCATTCAAAATCTACGTCGGTCATGTTAGAAGTGCCCATTTCGATTGGCGTTGAACGTTTGGTTACGGCATGTTTCCGCCTGAAGTTTGAAATCAGCTGTTGAAGGAGTAGAAGCATCAATATGCCGAGGCAGACGAAAACGACGTACAGAAATATGCTGAAAATAAAACACAAATGATGCGATGATTGTTAACTGACGGGGGAGTGCTATCGTATCTTACGTTTCTGGATTAATACCGGTTTCGTCTTCGATCACGGTTATCGTCTGGTTGAAAACCGTACTAACAAAGTTAGTTCCGTTCTAAAATGCTTCAACGTAAATCTGGTAAATCAACAGCTCAACCGATCTGCACTGAGACACTAATTTAAATGGCTTTACTGCAGAGCAGCACACCTAAAAGTGCAGCACTATAAAGAGTTCAAAGTAGAGGTGCGTAAATCAGCATTCGTAGACCCTTAAATGATAATGCAGCATATTAAATTATGGCATACTTCTCACGACAATATACCGTTGATTAGGTATCTACCTTATCTGACCCAGAGCTGAATTACTCCATCAGTAACGTCAGACTTGTACGTGCAAGATTCTGAGTTCGAGTTTTGACCACCATTTTGTGAAAAAGAATGCAGCAGTCTACATGCTGAACTTGCTATCCAGTGTACAGCAGCAGACATCGCTGTTGCAACAAGGTCCTATATCATACAATCG